GTACGTGTTCTATCAATACCACCACTAGGATTATCCAGTACACACTGATACATTTGATCTCCAGTGGTTGATTGACTGATTGATCCACTACCGACAGTCATTCCATCCCATGTGATATCAACAGTATATCTTAATGTGTTGGGGTTGCTACTAACTAGCACAGTACCAGGACAAGTACTACTTCGATCATCACAATTAGTATAGCTAGCCAGTGCAGTACTACCAATGCTCATACTAATACCATATGAATAGAATCCAATTTTAGTACAATTCAGTTTGTATTCCTGAGGATATACTGTCATATCAGAAGGAAGACCAGCAACAGTAAATGATTCTATCTCTGCAAATCCTACAAATGAATATTATTACATCAGTAAGTGATTATAGTCTCTTCTTACTAAATATATTAGCAATGATGATGTTAGTGTTAGGATCTGAACAATCAGTGGGTAGACAACACTTGTACCAGCCTTCTGTAGTTGTTGTTAGTCCCTGAGCAAGATAAAGATTGATAGTAGCATCAGGTGAAGTGACATTAGTACAACGAAAAGGATCACTGTCACTATTACTGTTACAGTCAACAGGATCATCAGGATCAGCAACTCTAACCCACTGACCAGTAGTTAGACTAGTACCAGGTAACACACATGATATAGCTTCAGTAACTGCATTGACACTGTTGTCAAAAAAATATGATCCATTAGGATAACAGTTTCCATTATATGCTAAATAGATACCTATAAAATAAATGCTTATACATTATATATATTAGAGTTAAATACCTTCTTGCTGACAATGAGTGAAGACACTAATTGCACTACTAGCAGGTCCCAGTAATTGTTGATAGGCTCTGACTGTGATGCTATAAGTTGTTCCTATTCTCAGTCCATTCAGTGTGATTGTATTATTACTACTTCCCTCCACCTGTACTGTCTGCACAGTGTCTGTGTCACTAGTGACATTGACTACATATCCATCAGCATCAGATGATTCAAGTGCAGTCCAACTGACAGTGATAGTGGTAGCTGTCTTGTTGACCTCAATAAGAGAAGAGGGAGCAGTTGCTGGTACTAATAGAAAGAGTACATAAATATTATTGGTAATTTGGTATAATATTACATGGCCATTACTATTGATTCAATCATTAAATGTGATTAATAGATTTCAGTGAGAGACTGAGAGGGAATCACAGCTAGGTCAAGCATAACAATAAAGCCACTACTAAACAGTAACAGGAAAATACTGTATAGTGGTTTTTTAGGATAATAAAATTTGCAAATGACCCGTATCTGGAAGTTCGCAAAATTAACTTTCCCGATTTTCTACTATTCTTCCATCTTGTACCATATTAAATTGATTTTCAAGGAATTTAATTTCACAAATTTTGAAAAATCCACAAAATTTGTTATCCCCCAAAGTAACTCGCTATACAATACTCTCCTCAGTTATGATATACCAAAGTGCAAATATTAACCTGATCCACATGAAAATAATATACACACACATGTACATGTATACATGTACATCAACAGTACAATGGTCATCATTACCTTTTATGGTTAAAGTACATGTTCTATCATCACCACCACTAGGATTATCCAGTACACACTGATACATTTGATCTCCAGTGGTGATGA